TTGATATTTATGGTGATTAATATTCCACAGTAAAGTGAAATGTTATGAATTGTAAAAATGTTCATTTACGAGTGTAAATTGAAAAATTAAATAATTTTGAATTTAAGATCACACAATAGTCCATCAACTGTGCCTAATTTACATTAAAACGAACTGATGGAGTGATTGACTTTATTTAATATCAGTGTGCTTTGCCTTGTCCTAGCTAAACCATTACAAATTTCAATTATCTTTCAATTGTTTATTAAATAATGTTAACCAACAACCCTTCAATTATATGATGAGTTACTCTCGTCAAAAGATGACCCATTATATAAAAGTTCTTGAATAATGATCGTAAACTATTTATCAATGTTTCGAAAACATGGCCAATATGAGTGAGTTTAATAATGAAGTCCTATCACACTAACAACCGTGAAATTCCACTTTTAATTTTGACTTTAGATAACCATGATTCAGCACGTACAATATTTGTTGTAATTTCCACTTTAAAAGTGAAAATAAATATTTTGGTCTAGGGTATAGAAAGATCCAACCTACAAAGATATATTAGAATTAACTAGCAGAATGGCTTATTTCTTACTTCAAATAATGTTTGTCTCCTCTCTTTACGTTCCTGTAATTCATGGGAATAACACTTTTGTTAGCCTTGGCCTTTGTTAGAATGGCTCCGACTGTTTCATGTGCAAACATTTAGCTCATAGCTCCGTCATTTCTTGGCCGATTTGAGATCTAATTACAGTTCTCTACTCAGGAGGTAAAACTCTTTCGATTGATATATTTGACCACGCCCAAATTCTCATAGATTAATTTACTCTAATTCTGCTTAAAAAAATCAATTTCAGGGTAGGCTGGTAGAGATCCTGATGGGTATAATAAAATAGAATTGGATATATGCGTGCCCCACGCTTGGTATTACTGGCGTACAAAAATAGAGCTAATAAAAAGGAAAAAAAAGGTCTCGTAGATTAATTTACTCTAATCCTGCCTAAAAGAATTTCAGGTACGGCGGCTATTGATAATTCCCTCTTGTTCTCCGAAAATAACTGTTTTCTTTTGTTGGGTTATACTCCACTACAAATATAAGACTCCAACGGGGAAGGCGCAACGCTCCATGCTAGGTTTAGGAGTAAAACTGAGCAGTTTTATACTCTATTTCTCTAAAAACAAGAGAGTAAAAAAGGTGAATACAGGTAAATATTAAGCCATAGAAAACTAAATCCATTCTATAGTAAAATATATTATATCAATAATATAACCTTACAATAATACAGTTTTAGTTTTATGGTAACATAGTTCGTTTTTTATATACTTATTCAAAAGTATTGAATATACTACACTTTCGATAGCATAGAAAACATATTTCGATAACAAAATATGCTCTCTTAATAGTATTGTAAGCAACATACTGTGTACTCTTGAAGTATCATTATGAAGCTACTGGTAGAATTATTCGACGGGAACAACATAGCTCTTTTTATTATTGCACGTGCCCGGCATGGCCAGGTGGATAAGGCGCTCGACTCCCAATCTGAGGGTCGCGGGTTCGAATCCCCGTCACGCCAAACATGCTCGCCCTTTCAGCCGTGGGGGCGGTATAATGTGACGGTCAATCCCCCTATTCGTTGGAAAAAAAGTAGCCCTCC